TTCTTCAGAAAAGGGTCTGAAGAAGGGTCTAGGCCCGAAACGTCAGCCTTCCTGCTCCTCTGATGCTGCTTGGCCTGCTGTGTTCACCCAGCTCTACACCTTGGTATCTCAGATTTTCCAGCATCTGCAGTTCCTACTATCTCTGATTCAGATGAATACAGCCTTCAGAAGGGAAGAATTAATTGCAAACCATTGTAGTATCAGGTTATAGGGTTTCTTAAGATATCGCTGAATCTCACAGACCCAAGTATATCTGACAGAATCCAAAAGACAACAAGAACATAGGGCCATCACTCCCGCACCCAAAGCAGTAAAAATGTTGACCCTGTAATTCACCACGCAGGGTGTAGGTAGAAGTTCACACTCAGATTGAAAAGACTATGTTCATTAGATGTATAGAAGGCTAGAAGATTTGCCTATTTTGGGCTAAAGGGAAGTAGTTTCCGGTGTAACCCTCATATTTGAAGGTCAGATCTGGGATTTGAAGTTACAAGACTTGAAAAGTGAAAATGAAGTAGGCCAATGGGAATACAGAATAGCTTTGAACTGGTTCCGGGAGAATAAAATGTCCATTTAAAAGTCAGTGTCAACTACAACAAAGGCAGGAATTATTTTTTGGTAATTTTAAAAGTTGACTGGGGATACCTTCCCATGGGTTTAGAAGATAATTTACCTAAAAACTGTATTTATTCACCAAAAATAAACGAAAGAACTGAAGATCTGGATCCAAAACAGAAATTACTGGAGAAACTCAGCAGAAACCACCTCATGGAATCATAGAGTTGTACAGCACAAAAACTGACCCTTCAATCCAACTCTTCCAAGGTGCCCAGATATCCCAAATTAATCTAGTCCCATTTGTCAACATTTGGCCCATATCCCTCTAAACCCTTCCTATTCATATATCCATTCAGATGCCTTTTAAATGTTGTAACTGTACCAGCCTCCTCCTCTGGAGCTCATTCCATACACGCCCCACCCTCTGCATGAAAATGTTGCCTCTTAGGTCCCTTTTAAACCTTTCTCCCCCCTCACCTTAAACCTTTGGCCCCTAGTTTTGGAATCCCCTACCCTGGGAAAAAGACTTTGACAATTCACCCTATCCATGCCCCTCATGATTTTATAAACCTCTGTAATGTCACCCTTCAGCCTCCAGCGAAAATAGCCTCAGCCTATTCAGCCCCTCCCTATAGCTCAAACCCTCCAACCCTGGCAACATCCTTGCAAATCTTTTCTGAGCCATTTCAAGTTTAAAACATCTTTCGTATAGCAGGGAGACAAGAAATGAATGCAGTATTCCAAAAGTGGCCCCAACCAATGTCCTATACAGCCTCAACATGACATCCCAACTCCAATACTCAATGCACTGACCAATAAAGGCAAGTGTACCAAATGCCTTCATTATCTTGCCTACCTGTGACTGCACCTTGAAGGAACTGTGAAACTGCACCCGTAGGTCTCTTTGTTCAGCAACACTCCCAACCTGAAGAAAGGTCACTGGACTCGAAACCTTAGCTCTGTTTTCTCATCACAGGTGCTGTCAGACCTGCTGAGTTTCTCCAGGAATTTCTGTTTTTGTCTTGTGTGTCTTTACTTTTGGTTACTGTTTGTTACCACAGAAGTCTTGAAATCTTGTGTGATCCTCAATCTTATGATCGTTTGATCTTGTGTTCCATTTGCTATAAACATAAATATCTTGTTATCAGTCTCTACACAGATGGTGACAATAGATAAGGCCCTACAATTCTATATATTGTGATCCTGTCAGTTACAATCTCCTGTCAGTTCACAACTGGATCTTTTATAAGTGGGTTTTGGATTGTTTTTAGATTCTTTTGCCACACTCATCTAATGTTACACGGGAAGTATGTCAGAAAGCATTGGCATTTCAGTTGTAAGTTCTTCATGCTAATATCACTTCATCAGTTTACAGAAGAAACTCTTTGTAGCTGTAAACATAACTGACTGTCAGAAGCATAAAGCAAGCCATGCAAACTAATATGACAAAATGGTTTTCTATCTTCATTTAATATCAGCATGGATGCTATTGCATCAATTGGGATGTCTTGGTTGAATGACTTGCAGAAACTTGCTGAATGGGCGAGAAAAGCCAGAGTGGATCCCAATGATCCGCAGAATTCAGATTTAATGCAAGTAATTAAGGTTAGTGAAAATATTCCATGTGTTTGTTGCTTACCAAAACAGAATGATTCTTTTATTTTTAAAAACACCCATTATGTGTTTCATTACACATTAATGTAAGGGGATTGTTGTTAAGCACCTGCAATAAGTGATGACAAAGAATATTTACTATTATTTTACAGTTACATTAATTTTTCTATAAAATATTCAGCTTAAGTTCAAGGGTGTAATTCATTCTTTTGTTTTTCTTCAACAGTACACAACTGAGGAGGGCCAGCATGCTCCTGAATACTTTAGATTAGATCAAATACAAGAAGAGTTTAACTTTGTAACAGATAAAAATCTGGAGCTCTCTAAACGTTTTCAATTACTGATGCTAAGAAATTCTGGAGTTCCTGAATATTGTTGCTTTAAGCAAGTGCCGCCATACGACAAAGAGATATCTGACAATATTTTCCAGGTGGCTAAGAATACTGATTCTTGAAAAATAAAAGTAACTGATAGAAAAATAAAGTTAGGATATTGTTGTGATGCTAATTGTGAGGATGAAATATAGGGAGGTAATAGATAAAGGCATTGCATTTATTTTACAAATCTTGGTGAAAATAAATCTAGAGTAGAATTGAGATAGATCATTAGAGATAATACTCTTTGAAAGGAATCAGAGAGAAGATATCAGAGATTTTGGCCATAATTTTTTGAACAGTGGTATCCCAGTGAAGTGATGCAGGATAGTTGTAGCAATTGAAGTATGTGTTTCCCTGAAAGTGCATATATAGGTAGATAAAGCCATAGGTGGGGCATTTAGTCCAATAATCCAGGCATAATGAAAAAAAACACTGTTTATGCCAGTGCTTAAAGTATTAAATACTTTTAATTCATTCACCGGCTTGACCAGCATTTATTGCCCATTGCACAGTTTAAGAGTCAACCACATTCCTGTGGGCCTGGAGTCACATGTAGGCCAGACTATGTAGGGATGGCAGATTTCCTTCCCTTAAGGACATTAATGAACCAGATGGGTTTTTCTGAGAATCAACAATGGTTTCATGGTCATTGTTAGACTCCTAATTTCTGATATTTATTGAATTCAGGTATGGCATGGTGGGTTTTGGACTCACATCCCCAGCACATTACCTGGGCCTTTGGATTAACACTCCAATGATAAAACCACTAGGCCATTGCCTCCCTGTACTTATCAATGCATGAACAATGTATTGGTTAAAGAGACTTGAAAAACTGGGGCTATTTCTACTGGAGCAGAAAAGGCCTAAGAAATTTAATAGACTTCTAAAATTATATGGGTTTTGATGTTTAATCTGGATGGACTCAGCTACAAGTTAGAATTTGAGTAAGTGAAGCTGGGAGAAGCTTGCACGTAATTCTTTTTCACAGGTAGAAATTGAGGCAGACTATTGCACCTTTTTTTGAAGCAGAGGAAAATGCACCATGGGGAATAAGGATAGCAGCGGATTATGTTTAAATTCTTCTAGCAAAGAACACAATCACAAAATTACTCAATTTTTATGATGCAGAAAGTCATTCAGCCTATTGAACATTTTGATTTGGTGTCAATCTCCTGTCTTTTCTCCATGACTCTGTATGTTGTTTCTATTTAAATAATCATCCAATGCCCTCTCGAATGCCTGAAATGAACCCACTTCCACCACACATCCAGGTAGTGCATTCCAACTGCTAATTACTCACTGTGTGAAAACGGCTTTTCATCTTGTATTTCCATTTGCAAAACACCTTAAATATGTGCCCAATGGTTTTCAGTTCTTTAATGAGTTAAAACAGTTTCTCCCTGTCTTCTCTGTCCAGAGTCCTCATGACTTTGAAAAACTTCTATCAGATTTCTTTCATCAGATTTCTGAAAAGAGTTGCAACTTCTCCAATCTATCCTCATAAATGTTTCTCATCCATGGACCCATTCCTGTAAACTTCTTTGGCACACTACTGCCTTCAAATCAGTTTTAAAGTGTAGCACCCAAAGCTGTACATAATGCTCCAATTGACTTCTAACTAATGTTTTACATTGGTTCAGCTTAACTCCCTGTTTTTGTAATCTATGCTGTACTTATGATGCCTAGAAGACTGTATGCTTTACTATCTGCTCTCTCTAACAGTCCTTATGCATATTTTACACTTATTTAAGGAGTTTACAGTACTTATATTGTATTATGAATAGTGCCATGGTTTTCATGTTTTTCTAGGAATTTGAAAGCCAAAGGGATGACATTTTTGTAAATATCGGTGAAGATTCACTGACAGAACAGAGAATGATGGCACTGAAGCATCTAGAAAAGGTAGTAAAGTGTGAATGAAAACATAAACCTTTCACCTCCTTGATCATTATAATCAACCAATATAAAAATAAGCTTGTAATAATTTATGGATTGCGACCCTTACAGTTCTGTTGACAAATGGCAACATCAATACCTCCTTATTTGTGATGCCTGCAGAAAGTTTGGCAACTGCCTGTTGGCAACTCCCTTTTCTCTCCTTTTGAAATTTTCCATTCCTGCCTTATAAATAAGGTCAAGCTGTTTTTTAAATTACTTTCTTCTTCTGAAGTCAAGGTTTTCCCCTCATCTGGGTCTTTTATCAGTCAGACTCAAATATTAACTTACACTTCATCTCATTAGGTTTCGAATATGCATATAAACATATAAATTAGGAGCTGGTGTAGGCTATTCAGCCCATCAAAACTGCCCCACCATTCTACAGGATCATAGCTGATCTGATTGAACCTCAAATCCGCATTCCACCTACACTGTTTTTCACCCCTTTGATAAACAAGAATCTATTTACCTATTAAAAGTATTCAAGGAATCTGCTTCTATCACCTTTTCAGGAAGAACATTCCAAAGACTTTCAAAGCTCTGGGAGAAACTATTTTGCCTCATCTCAATTTTAAATGGACAACCCCGATTTCTAGTGATCTCTAGTTCTATAAAATCCCATAACAAGAAACGTCCTGTCCTCATCTGTTCTGTCAAGACTCCTCAAGATCTTATATGTTTCAATCAAGTTAACTCTTAATTCTTCTCAACTCCAGTGGATACAAGCTTACCCTGTCTAACCTTTCTTCATGCGACAACTTGCTCATTCTTTATGTCACTCTCTGCATTACCTCCAATGTATTTACATCATATCTTAAATAAGGTGACCAGTACTTTGCACAGTCCTCCAGATGTGGTCTCACCAGTACCCTGTATAACTGAAGCATGACTTCCCTATCTTTTATTCAATTCTCCTCATGGTAAACGTTAACATTTTCTTAGCTTCCTAATTACTTGCTGGACCTACATACTAATTTTTTGCCATTCATGCATGAGAAGATTCAGATGACTTTTCATCTCAGAGCTTTGCAATCTCTCTCTATTTAGATAACGTTTTTACTTTTATTCCTGGCAAAATGGACAATTTCATACTTTCTCACATTATACTCCATTTATCACATCTTTGTCCACTCACTTAATTTAACTATATCTTTTTCTAACCTCTGTATGCCATGTTTCAACTTACACAAATAGCAACACAAGCGAGGAAGTATTACAATCCTCACTTCCTTTAATTAAAATTTACATAACATTGAACAGTCATTGAATTTTAATTACATTTGTTTTTCAGTTATTTACAAATCTATATTAGAAAGGCAGTTATCATATTTAATCTTGAAAACTCTGGCCTTTTGACAAGATTGTGAATAGATACTGCACACACCAGGGCAGTTAGCAGTTGGATTACATTCTAGTAGTATTTGATTTACAGTTACTTTGTAATCCCTATATGTTCTTTGGTCTGCCTTTGCTGCTGCACCGTGAGAGTAATTCTTTTCAGTTTTTGTGGTAATGGTCTCTCGTCAACTCTAGTTCTGTTTTTTTTTCCTTAGGTCTGCAGTAAAGTGGTCTGTCATTCTTTTAAACCATATGTTGGCCTTATATCCTTGAGTCGGGTTGCCAGTACTAAATACCTAAGGCTAATTGGTGATCATATTATCTCAAATTGCAAGCATTGCTTCTATATAAAAAAAGCTCATCAAGTTTATCTTCAGTGATTTCAACTACTTCCTTCCTAGTAAGGTTGGTTTGTCACACTTCATAATGATGCATAATCCTGCTTCCTGAAGTGATTGGGACTCTCACCCTTCCCTGGGGATTTTCGCTCCATAACTTAATTCTATATGTGATTTCTCCAACTGACACTGACACAATGTTCAACAGTGTAGCAATTCAGGAATCATGCTGACTGATACCCTCTTCTCTACCTCCACGTACGGTTGCTCCCTAATGTTTCTTGGAATGCAATACCTTGCAAATTTCCATTGGATATCCTTGTTCTTCTAATCATATGGTTCTCAACTGACTCCTCATTGACCTGCTGCTATATGATATGAGCATGCAGTGACTGTTGTTTCCCTCCACCAGCGCTTCCTCCATGTATCTTTCTATCTTCTCCATTTAACTTCTTCTGACATGCCTTGGTGAGATGACTCTCCATTTTGCAGCTGTAACACTGTCTTTAGAAATGGACAATTCCATACCCACTTGGCCTAAGCGTTAGCAATAGGATTTAGGAGTACCACTTCAAACAGTGACTGCCTTTGTTCGATTTTTCAGTTTTCTCATCTGCTGCTTATTTATGTAAACAGACTACTGGAGGCTCTAAAACCCTGATTTTTTTTTTTGTTATTCATTCATGGGATAAGGCTCCACATTTAGTGCCCGTCCTGAATTGCCTAGAGGGCTGTTAAGTGTCAGCCACATTGCTGTGGGTCTGGAGTCACATGTAGGCCAGACCAGGTAAGGATGGCAGTTTCCTTCCCTAAAGTGAACCAGATGGGTTTTTCTGACAAATTGACTATAGATTCATGGTCATTATTAGACTATTAATTCCAGACTTTTTAAAAAAAAATTGAATTCAAATTCCACCACGTGCCAAGGGAACTCAAACCCAGGTGCTTAGAATGTTATCTGACCTCTAAGATTAGCAGTCCAGCAGCAATGCCACTAAGCCATCACCTCCCCATATCAAATCATCTCAAATCATGTTCTGCCTTATCTATGGACAATATTAATCGGGAAACTGTTGAAGGCTAACTTTGGCAATGTCAGCAACTCACAAAAAATGCATTCATTTTTTAAACTGCACATGTATCTGTGCTGCATTAATCTCTGCTGGAATCTTCAAATTTGCAATTGATGGAAGAGTTTTTAAAAGCCATGACAAATTCTCCAATATTCTCAATTAACTGATTCCAAATTCCAATTAGCTTTCTGCATCGAATGGTCTGGGACTATAGTGTTGCTTAAGGTTATATAAAATATCTGATAGTGTGTGTCTTTTGTATTATTAATCATCAGAAAGTTCTTGAGTGTTTCATATACTCTTGGGACTGCTTCAGTCAGAAATATTGCTTTTTCCTTTCTCCTTTTGCTTGATTAACAGAGTGATTAGAGGAGTTGAGGACATTATTAGTAATGAAATACATCCACATAAACACTGAAAAACTATCATCCCCAAGCCATCATCTGCACAAATCAGCATTGATAAACTGCCAAAATCACCAGATTATTATCCTGCTCTTTGACCAACTCTCACACCACTTCAGCCCTTCAACACTTTGCTTTAGGCCTCAATGACATCAGTGACTTCTGCCAGGTTACCTTGTGTGCAGGACACACACATATATCATGCATCAGCACAGTATACATCTTATAGGTCTTAACTCCTCTCTTGGCTTTCAGTTCCTTGCTTTTATTTGGAGGCTGCCAACATCTGTTAGCTTTATGTTGCTTTCTTAGCGCAAACTCAAGGACCAACACCGACTTACAGACTGCCTGCCACTGTGTGGGTGACATTGCTGCTTTTGCATATAGGTTCTTTAATACTCAGTCACAGGTTACCAGCTTCTGTAGCTTGCACTTCCTTTGCAACACAGAGGGAGAGGCAAGCAGCTCGTCATGGAGGGGAGCGCCAAACAGTCAAGGTGCCAGATATGCCACTGAATGCAATGGGCTATGTCAATTTCCTACCTACAACCTGTACCAGCAGTTTATGCAGTAAACACTCTGCGTGTGCTTCAAGTAAATGAGCATGTCTGAAAGTCAAAGGGGAGCAATCCTAAGTGGGGTGAAAAGGAACTATGGTATGTCAGGGACTTCTATAGTCAATCAAGTGGCTTGGCCTATTCCAATCCAGGGGTTGGCCATAGTCAGTCAGGCATTTAGTCCTACCAGAGTCCAGAGATTCACCTCCTTACAGTCCAGCATGGAACAATGGTCATTCCTGCAAACTGTCCAAAAGTTACAGGCAGGCCAGTCAAAATGCTTTGGAGACATAATTCTGGGAGTTTGTCCAAAGTCTTCCAGCAATGAGTCAGAGATTGGGATTGAGAATGATGAAAGTGTATAGAAGAGAAGCTAATGCACAAATAGAAAAGTTCGGGTGTCTGATGAATGAGTAGGAAGTGCAGAGGGCAGGGAGGATTAGTAATTTGGAAGGATCAGATGGGTAAGAGCCATTGAGTGGACAGGATGTTTGCAATAATGAGATGAGTTGTCCGAGAACCTTTGTGAAAGGCGTATGCAGTGGCAGAGTTAGAGTGAGTGATGCCCTGTGATTGTGAGGTAGCAGAGAGATAATAGTGACACTTACCTTTGCAGAGTGCAGAAGATAATTTATAATCTTCCTGCAGTGAGAGGTGTCCTGCTTCATCCAGAACACAGCACTGACCCAGACTGCAATTTGGGTCCAGGCTGTCTGTGTCTGGTGGCATGGCTGTTTTTGGCGGTCTGCAGGAAAAAGGACTGCCCTCCTTCATCTCTGGGGCATGTTCTCAGTGAAAGCAGTCAAGCACCATAGTATGAGGACCAGTTTCTGGCTTGCACCATCTGAAGTGGTGCGCAGTAAGGCTTTAAATGTGGCTCCAATAGATGGTTTTGGCAGTGGCAAGCATTTATACCCAAGAAAGGTGCCCAAAAACCCAATCACATAATTAATAGGATGAAAGTGGGAGATTTTGTGAAAAATGTTGCTTGGAGTAGTGGAGGATTGGGCAACATGAATCTCACTCAACAAAGCACTTTAACTAAAAATGTTAAAATTCTGCTCAGTGTTCAGAGATCCTGCCCAGTTTTCTGAGATCCTTTGTCTTATAAAAGGCTGTAATATCATTATAAAGAGTATTTAAAGCAAATTAAGGAGAAGCTAGAACACCACATGAGGGAGTAAGATGCAAAATGTTAGATGTAGAGAGGTCGGAGTAGATTTGAGCGAAGCGCTAGTGACTATGTTAGGGCAAATGATTTGTATCTGGAATGTAAATTCCATATTTACAGGAATTTTAAAAATTGATGACATTTATTTTTCAATGTTTCTAAAGTTGTTTATTTGACTTACAGTTTTCATAAACTATCCTAACACATTATATTCATCGTGCCTGCTGTTCTAAATGATTACAGCCAATAGCTAGTGCTATCCATGTGGGTGTTTAGGCTACATTTGTCAAAAGGAGATCTACATCATGGGTAGCTGATGGTACTTAAAAGATAATTGTACCTCTTGAAGACAAGGCTCATTATGGCTGTTAGATGTTGTGGAAGCCCTCTGAAAATTTCAAAGTTTGAAGACTTGCATATGCAACAGGTTTTCTAAAAATACACAGTTGGTCCTCTGTAGTTTGTGGGGAAGACAGACATTCTGGGCCAAATTTTTAATTTGCTCTGGATGTGGGATCAGTAACTAGCAGTTTGCAGAAATGGTATGCCTCTAGATCATTTTCCAGAAGTCAAAATCAGGGTTGAAATGGGTTCTTGACCTCATGAACTCATTGCCATAGAAGGCTGTGGAGGCCAAGTCATTGAGTGTAATTAAGATAGAGATACATAGTTTCTTCATTAGTAAAGGGATCAAAGGTTATGGGGAGAAGGCTGGAGAATGGTGTTATCAAACATATCAGCAATGATTGAATAACAGAGCAGACATGAAGGGCTAAATGGCCTAATTTTGCTCCTATATCTTATGGTCTTATGGTCTTTGCCCTTTGCAGTAAACTTCCATTAGGGCAGCCTCAGCAGCAACAATTTTTAAATTTCAAGGTTTTAACAGTGCTAAGGGAGCCTCCGTGTTGAGGTCCCCTTTCTTTTCCTTTATTACATTGACAGTCTAAAGCTCTTTCTTGCCACCTTAGCACTGTCAAAACATCTCTTTCATTGTTGGAATGCCGTCCTAATTGTGAGCCATCCCTGGCAATTAATTAGATTCACAGTCGAAAATCAGGTTTTGCGTGTCACTCTCATGCTTTGCATTGTCCTGTCTGGGAATTATCCTGACATTGCAGTTCCAAACGAGAATAAAAATTCAGCCTTCTCTATTTATGAAGTGGGGGAATTCAGAAGGCCTATCATACATGTATCTAAAAGAAAATAAGAGATGGCAGTCAGGAATGTAGCTTAAAGAAGATTAATGCAGTTTAAAGACCCGAGATCAGAATTGGCAAGGTGCGTGAGTTCATTTTTCAAATATCCAATTAAAAATATTCAATCAACTGCACCATTATTAGCCCCATCCAATGCCAAATTCATTTTACCCCATCATCCACACAACAATCTCTATTCTTCAATCCATATTACTTTCCTCACTCTTAATGCTGTTACAAGACTTACAACCACAACTCACAGCTTGCACACTCTGAAACTTACTAAACTATGATAGTCACATCATTTAAATATATTTCAGGTCTCTCACTGACATCCAGGGGCTCATTTCAGGTCCTACTGATTTGTGTAACCAGTTTTCTGTACCTAATATCTTCACTGGAAAGTAATCGAATTGTTATATGAATTGTTCAGAGAGGCCTTAGTCATATCTATTGCATGGAGTCTATCACATGGAAACAAACTTTGAAGTCTTATTGGTTGATACTGACACTTATAATGCACTGAAACTCAGGGGCAAGGGCAGAAAGCATGGGCCCTTATTCCATAATCTGAACATAATGGGCCTCCTAGAGACCTGGGCTCTTGCTATTGGGCTCTGATGTACCCTCTATCCTAGTTTATGCAGAAACACCTTCTGCTCAATGATTTCTATCCATCCTTCTCACATCATCTCTTTTTCTTCTCTCATATGTGTGCCAAAACTATGGTTAAAGCATTAATGCTACCTGCTTCAGTCACCCCATGGGGAAGTGAGTACCATAATCTCACTACTCTGTGTAAAGGACATTACCCCTAAATCCCTAATTTGATCTATTATTAGTTCTTTTATATTTATACCCCTGTCTGGACAAGCCCACAAATAGAACCAATTTTGCTGAGTTCATAATTTACAGTCCTCTGTCAGCTTTCTGTTAATACTTCTCTTCTCCAGAGTTGTGTAATCTCAAGTCAACCTTCTAAGTATGAAATGAGACTATTATGAAATAGCACAAAATTTATTTCATTAATATATATTTCCCAAATTATTACTAGATCCATTCAGATTATAGTAAGAGTTAAGGAGAAAATAATAACAGGTTATGTACTGAATTCAGTTTATGAGAGTCTTATCATTTAGTTTTGCATGTGTGAATAATTTGATCAACATATAAAGCTAGGCCTTTCAATTAATCTTAAAACTTCGGTCATTGGAGATGTTTAGATTGCTTTTCACATGCATGAAATAGTTCTAAAATGTTTAATTTTACAATAATTAATTAACATGTTATCTGGAAGGTAAAAGCTTCTGTGATGAAAAAGCTTTTGAGGGTCAGGCACCATTATACAGTGCAAGACATGGTTGTTGAATGTGAAGAAATTAGTACCATAAGGTGAGCTATTTGCTGCATTTACTGAATCGTGAAAAAAAAATCAAATTGTTTGCTTATTTTGATGAAGTGAATGGCCAATAAAATAATACATGTTGGTTGGGGATACAAACTAAAAGCAGGGAATGATACCTGTGCCATAGTTGGTAATTACATGCCCTCTTTAGTGTTGGGTCTTTTGCTTCATTTAAGTCAAAGATATCTAAAAGGCATTCTATGGCCAACTGCTGATAAAATCATTTCAGGTCACTGCATGACTAACAGAGGAAAAGGAGACAAAATGTTTAGGAGAGTCGTGATTTGTTGGGAGAGTGTGAACAATAAGACAGGAAATGATTGAATTGGGAGTAAATATTGTGTAACAAAATGAGAAACGTCAAGTTTAGCCAGGAAAAAGAAAAACAATATACCATTGATGAAAGCCTGCTGAAGGATCATAGATTCAATGTCATACAGCGCAGAACAGGCCTTTTGGCCCATCAAGTCTGCACCGACATTATTATCATTCAAGGTGCACTAAACCCAATTTTCTGCACTTATCCCATATCCTTGAATGTTGTGATATTCCAAGTGCTCATCCAAATATTTTTTAAAGGTTGTAAGTTTTTCAGCCTCTACTACCTTCCCAGACATTGCATTCCAGATTCCCACCACCTACTGAGTGAAAAAGTTTTTCTCAAATCCCGGCTGAATCTTCAGCCCCTTACCCTAAAACTATGACCCGCATGATTGACCCCTCAAACAAAGAGAACAGCTGCTCTCTATTCACTGTGTCCATACTCCTCGTAATCTTATATACCTCAATCATGACCCCCTCAGTCTTCACTGCTCTAAAGAAAACAATCCAAGCCTATCTAGTCTCTCCTCAATTTCTGCGTCCAAGGGAACATACTGGTGAGTCTCCTCTCTTGACATCCTTCATGTGGTGAGATGACCAGAACTGCACACAGTACTCAGCTGTGGCCTAACAAACACTCTGTACAACTCCAAAATCACCTCCTTGCTCTTATACTCTACACCCACAACTGATTGTCCCATATGCCTTCTTAACTGTCCCAATCATATGCTGTGCTAACTTCAGGGATCTGTGAATAATCACAAAATCCCTCTGTTCCTCTAAGCTACCCAGTGTCCTGCCACTCATTAAATACTCCCTCATTTTGTTGTTTCTTCCAAAGTGCATCACCTCACACTTATCAGGATTAAATGCCATTTGCCACTGCTCTGCCCATCTGACCAGCTCATCTATATCTTCTTGCAACCTACAACCTTCTTCTTCAACTTGCTTAACTTTTCCCCAAATTTTCATCTGTATCATTTGTACCATTTATAATGAGCAATACTGATCCTTGTGGTACACTGTTAGACACTGGGCTCCAGTCAATCAAACAGTTTTCTACCACTATTCTTTGTGTCCTATTACTAAGCCAATTTCTGATTTTTCCCGCGAAGTTTCCCTGAATTCCAGGAGCTTTAACCTTCTCAATCAGTCTCCCACGTGGGATCTTGTCAAAAGCTTTGCTAAAATCCATATAAGACTCCATTGAACTTCTCTCATCCACACACTTGATCACATTTTGAAAAATTCTAACAAATTTGTTAGGCATGACCTGCCTCTGACAAAGTCTTGCTGACTGTTCATAAACAACTCATACCTTTCCAAGTGGATATTAATTCTCCTTCAGAATTTTCTGCAATAGTTTTCCTACCATTGATATGAGACTCATCGTTCTGTAATTTCCTAGTTCATCTCTACCACCCTTTTTGAAAAGTGGAACCATATTAAACATCCTCCAGTGCTTTAGCACTTCCCTCCGTGGCCAGAAAGGAATTAAAAATTTGTGTCAGAGCCCCTGCAATTTCCCGCCTTGCCTCCTAAGGCAACCTGGGATGCAAATCATCCAGGCCAGGGGATTTGTCCATTTTTAAGCCCGGAGTCTCCAGTACCTCTCTATTTCCTCATTAATCAGTGCATGTTCCTCAAAGTACCTTTTTCTGAATTCTGTACGTACATTCTCCTTTACCAGGGTGAAGACCAAAGAGAAGAATTCATTTAACACCCTTCCAATATCCTGTGGCTTGACACACAGGTTGCCACCTTGGTCCCTAATGGGCCCTAGACTTGGTTAGACAATATGTGATTGATTATCTGGAAGTAGTTAGCCTGGTGCCTGCTGCATTCAGTAGGTGGGGGTGGGGAAGAGGTCCAGTTTATGAAAGTTCCTCAGACAGGCATTAGCCTGTTATGTATATGCAGATTGTGCTGGATACCTCACTTTTTTCACCAATGACAGACAGTGCACACTGTACGTGTAATGAGCATCTAAATCCCACCTGCTATATTGGATGCAAGATACCAATTTTAGCAAATAAAACCAACAGGGTGCCATTGAATTTCAAGGCCAGTGCTGTATATCTTATCATCTATCCACTTCTAACTATTAAGTAAAATGCTTGAAGGTTTAATTTTTGCTAAGTGTCATGCCGTAATTGGGGAGTGCACCAGTAAAAAAGTGTACTACTCAGGACAAAAGCAATTCATACCAGGTTTCACCAGTAAAACAAGAATGCCTATGTTTATATTAACATAATTATCTTTAACAAGAGCAGAGTTAGGATTTCTAATCTATTATCATGCAGCTTAAACATTACTCTCAAAGCTTCCCATTGCACACATAATTAAATAATTAAATAATCATAATTAAATCAGACAAAAGATAAATTGTTTAACACAGATACTATGGTGGAAAAAGGATATAGACTGGGTAAACAAATTTCCAAAGATCAAAAGTCTAGGCGACAAGGTGAAATGATATATTTCACAGTCCTTTTGATTTTAGCAATGATGACATGCTGTTGTCTGTAGAGCAATGGTTGATGTTCCCTGCATTTTTCTTTCCTGCTGCACAGACCTCTGAGGTCCATGTATGGCAGTGACTTAACCATGCAGAATGTGTTGTGTTGTATGCAACATGTTGGTGCCATGCAGTGTAGAGTAAATGTTGTTGATGTTGTTCTTTAATTTGATAGTTAATGGGGTGGATCAAAGTCTTTTCTTGTTTCAAAATTCTTTCTTTCAAGCTTTTTTGGTTTAACTGTCTTTTTCCAAATACAGAGAGAGAGAGGTGGGGTGCTTTCTGTTTCAGGGCTTTGATTGGTATTTTCTCTGCTGCCCAGACCCTTACAGCTTTTAACACAATGCTGCTCAACTGATCATAGGGCTGTCGTCAGGTAGAAATTCCTTAACTCAAAAGACTGTTGGCGCTGCTCGGTGTCAAATTCTCCATTTCACTGTTTCAAAAAGCAGCATATTGCACAGCTGAAAACAATATGCAGCACTTGATTTCTAAGTTGCACAACGCACCTGCTATTCCAGTGATATAACAGTCCAACTTCCATTTCAGTTTATAATCCTAAAATAGAATACATATGGTCTCTTAAATAAGCAGTAAAAATGATAAGTCCTCATTCTTGCATTGTAAATTTGCAAATTTAAGTTAATGAAATGGGTATAAGTACAAACTGTACATTAAAGGACATGTAAGATTCTTGTTAAAAAGCAATTTAAATAATTTTGCAGATTTCTTTCATGACAGTTTACTTTACATAATTTTCTAATTTGCACTGCAGGAGGTTGGAATGCAACAACCCACATTCCAAAACAAATTTCAAACCCCTTCTAACCATCTAGTGATTGGAACCAGATGGATCTTGGTGACTTAACGATCCTTGATGGCGTTGTTAACCTGGTCCTATTAGGGAGCCCTGGCTTACAGATATAAACAGGGGATCTGGCAGCCACAGCGAGTGTACTATGCACAAGTAAACAAAGGATGAGACTTGGTGACTGGATATTGGTCTCTGTGCAGTTATTTTAGTGGCAAACAGGAGTGGAATAATATGTGGCTCTAGAACATTTGCTTGTAACAGTTGTCTGTGAGTTGGGTTAAGCATTTCTGGCATCATGCCTTTATTTGGGAAACTTGACTCATTCAATCCTGCTGTTGAAGACTGGACCCAGTATGTGGAAAGCATGCAATATTTTCCCCCGGAAAATGACATTGGGGCAGATGAAAAGCAATGAGTAATCCTTCTGACTGCTTATGGACCTGCAGCATTTTTGGTTTTTAAGAGTTTAACTTTCCCAGAGGCACCAAACACTAAAATCTTCCAAGAGTTGACGGATTTGGTTAAGGAATATTACGACCCCAAACCTCCTCTAATTCTGAAATGCTGTCGGTTTTATTTGGCTCTACAAGACTAAGGGGAGTCCGTATTGGGATTTTTGATTAGGTTAAGATAACTGGCAGAGGCATGGGATTTGTGGTTAACTCTGACTTGCTCAGAGACCATTTGGTATGTGGGATTAATGACATAACCATGCAAAAGCACCTACCAGCTGAAGCCCAACTGAACTTCAAACAGATGCTACAACTGGCTTTGCTATTAGAGCTCCATACCATCCATTGTCCAATGATCCGGCAGAAAGACTGATCCAAACACTGAAAGCAGGCTTAAAGAAATGGCTACTGCTTTACTTGACACCAAACTTTTCTAGTTACTGTTCAATTATTGGCCCACCCCTCAAACAACCGCAGAGATAGCTTCAACAAAGTTGCTGATTGGGAGAAGACTCTGTACCAAGTTAAACCTGGCATTCCCAGACCTGGTGGGGAGGGTGAAATGGCAACAAGAACACTAATGCCGGCCACGTGCTTCCTCTAAGTGATAGAGACAATTTATTTAAAGCTTGGTGCCAGAACCATGGAATTGGCCCTGCATGGTTACAAAGCAAGGTTAACATGAGGTCAGGTCCTGAGACTTACAAAGTTTAGGTAGGTCCTGAACAAACATGTCGATCAACTGAAAATTGTTACCTTGCAAACGGGGCAGGAGGAAAACATACCTGACCCCTCAGAACAGCCAGAAGGCCTGTCAGAAACAATGGGTTCTCCCCCTCCATCTAGCATCAAGGATACCTCAGAGTCCAAGATGGATACAGCCTCGATACTGTTACCACGGAAAAAGAGGAGGAAACTGTCCTGATATACTCCAGACGCAAGAGACAAGCTTCAATCCAGCACACACTGCCCATGTCAGAGTCTGAATCAGAGGAACCGGACCTGGGGCAAAAATATCCCAGGAAAAGCTACCAGAGAAAGATTACGCCTACACCCTGGACTTAGTCGGGTAGGGAACGTTGTGAGTGGACCCAGTTGGATCTCATTAACAACCCCAAAAAAGGATCTCATAGTCAACCTGGGACAATCAGGGAGTCCTGGTTGATAGTTATAAACAGGGGATTCAGAGAGTCTTCTGACTTCAGGAACTGACTCTGAGCTGGCTAGTCACAGCCAGTGTACAGTGCACATATAAATAGAGGGCGACTAGGTGATGGATACCAACCTCTGTGCAGTTATTTCAATCCACATTCTACCAAATATTTGTTAAAAGTTTGGGTTTCATGCCAGAGTTCTTTAAAATTGATTTCACTATAATAGCTTATGTTTTAGAATGAAAATTAGAGGAAATTAAATAAAATTTTATTTTATACACTTTTACTTGTTAGAATTGAACGGTATCAACACAAGACATCAAAACTTATTATGCTATTTTTTGTGTCAAAGCCAAGTAAGTCTTGCCATGTTAAGCATGATTGCACCTCGAAAAAAAATGAAACCACTGCGTAAGGAGAGAAAAAAAATACCTGCCCAGACCTTATCTGATGGAGATGTCAAGCTGCTTATTAATGTATTAGGAGCATACAACATTCCAATGAGGAAATGTATTATCAGGTAAGAAGTATCCGACCACTCAGCTCAGAATTTTAAATTTGATTGATTTAAATAAAGTGGAATAAAAAGCTAGCATCTGAAATGATGACCATAAAATTGGATGGTTGGTTGATAGGGCATTCTAGTTCACTCATGGTTTTTAAGTAAGGAAACTTGCTGTCTTTACTTATTCTGGCTGACAAGTGACTTCAGATGCACACCAATGTGGTGACACTTAGCTACCATTCAAAATGGCCTAGTAAGCCCTCCAGTTAGCAAATTTGGCTTGATTCCTGGATGGCTGGTTTTGATGCAATGGCAACAGCCCAAATTCACTTTCTGGACTGGCTGAGATCACCATGAAGATCCTGTCTTCTCAACCTCATCCCTTAGCTGATGCATGTAATCCTCTGGTTAAACATGCAATTAGTTGTCTGCCTCTGAGAGAGCAGCTTCTGGTATACCGGGACTATGGTGACTTTCATTTTTTACTTTGCATCAAACTACTAAAAAATAAACAAAAGAAAACTGAACAGATTATCTAGCATTGACTTAGACACAAGCCAAGCAAAGAATTTGCCTTCAGGGCCAAATCCTGGAATTCACGCCAAACAGCACAAAGGGTGTGTCTACGTCAAACAAACTGCAATGTTCAAATAATGAGCTTCACATTACTTGTAAAGAGTAGTTAGATAGGGATAGACAATAAATATCCTTGCTAAAGACACCAAATTCCAGGGAAAATTTAAAATAAATACAAAATAGCCTCATTTTTACAATGACCAGACAGTCGTTATTCTAGTCTAGATGGGAGATGAAACTAAGGACCCTGAGGAATCCACATTGTCACAGACTATGAAGGAATTGCAGGAGAAATTGAATATTCTGCTGGGCAATTTCCCTATTCTTGAACTCACTGAAAGTCCCCATTTTAATTGGAGAGTTTGGACAGTTCAGACAAAATTAAGTAAAATAGTTATTCAGGAAAGATTAAACTATTAAATACATTTGAGCAACTAGTAAACTGACCCCAAATTTACCTCGCACACTTTCAATTACATATTCCCCAGACCACTTACACTCCCAAACCCTGATGTGACCCTTGCCTCTCCCCAGAGGACCCAATACCTCCCTCCCCCAACTCTCACCCCAATCTTCCCTTCCCTTGTTCCAGACCCAATCTGTCATCCCTCCCTTGGAATCTGCCCCCTTCACCCCCACTCCAGACCCATTTCCTTCCATTTTCTCTTACTCTGAACCTGATGAATTTGGTGCCAGTCTTTTCCATCAAATATCCTTTTATTCAGAAAGTTGAATGCTGCACTGGCACACTAGAAGTGAAGAGCCATTGTCAATGTCAGCCCCTGTTGAGAGGAAGCATCCAACATGTAAGAACTTCCTTGCATGGGAGGAGCAGGCTGGTAGAGAACCATTGCCTTTTGGATGTTCAGCCAGAGACCCATTCTCTTATAGCCCTCCATGAATGCATGGTGGTAGTTTGGAGCTTGGCCTCTGAGTGTATGAACACAAATGGTGTCTGTATATTGCAGTTTGATGACAGAGGTTGGGCTGTTGTGTACTGGACTGGAGGTGATGTTGGCTGATTTAGCTTAGTTTCTTGCAAAAGATGTAGAGTACCTCTGCTCTGGCAGGGAGCTTTATAGAGATAACGTGGAGCGTTGCAGCAAGGACGATGGAAAAGATCATTGATTTAATGACACTACGTTACTTGTTTCCACTTCAAACTTGTTTTGTATTTTGGCAGGGATTTATCTGTGCAGGTGGTTTTATTGGTTCTCTACTGTCAAATGTCCTTTTGGGCTGGGTTGTGCTGAGATGGTGACAGGTCGGGAGCTATGTAATGTGCTCTTTCTTCACAGAGTCCTTGAGTTCATTGACACTGATGTGTCCTACTACAACGCTTCTACAATTTCTGAAGTTATTGGACCAGGTTGGTGGAGATCGTCATATGAATTAGGTGGTGGTTTGTTCAGCCACCGCCAACTCATGTAATGGCACAAGTGGTGTGAATATTCTTCTGGTTCCTTATTTAGATAATGACATAGTCAAGAAGGTCTGTCTCTGAGCACTTTGTGTTGCTTTGAGGTCTTGTACTTTCATCACAGAGTTTAGCATGGTTCTGAGGAAGTGTCACCGGACCCGAAACATTAACTCTGTTTTTTCCTTCACAGATGCTGCCAGACCTGCTGAGCTTTTCCAGCAATTTCTGTTTTGTAGCATGGTGAGAGTTTGAATGTTGTCATCCTGAGAGATATGCTACATGTTGCCATTATTTCTTCCATGGGTTAGCACCTGAACAATCCTACTAATCTTTTGGAAAATTGGTTTTGAGGCATAAAGAGGTGCATTACTTCTGCAGTATTTCTAGCCTCTGACCTGCTCTTGTAGCCACTGTATTTATATGGCTAGTCCAGTGTGGAGAAGTGATGGAGTCATGATAATGTCAATGGACTAGTAATCCAGAATCCCAAGCTGATGTTCTGGAACCATGAGGGCAAATTCTACAATGGGAAATGGTGAAGTTTAGATTCAGTAAAATGTGGAATTAAAAACTAGCCTAATTATGAACATATATCCTTTGTCAACTGTCGTAAAACAAATCTGGCTTACCAATGTCTTTGGAGTAGTAAATCTGCCATTTTTATTTGTTCTGGCTTAAAAGTAACTCTAGCCCCCCAGCAAAGTGGTTGACTCTTAAATTCCCTTTGGACATTCAAAGATAGGCAATAAATGCTGGTCTAGCCAGCAATACTCAAAAGTTAGAAAGGACAGTCTGTGTTCATCAGTAACCTGCAGGAAGTTGATTATGCAATGATAATGCCATTGAATATCAAGAGGAAATGATTAGAATCTCTCCTGTCATTGCCTGGCACTTGTGTGGCGTGAATTGTTACTTGCCATTTTTTAAAATTCATTCTCAAGAATGACAGCATCACTAGCTGGGTCAGGATTTATTGCCCATTCCTAATTGCCCAGAGGGCAGTTAAGAGGCAACCCCATTGATGTGGGTCTGATAAAACTCCAGTTTCTGTTATTAAATTCAGTTTCCTCCATTTGCCTTGGCAGGATTTGAACCCAGGACCCCAGAACATTATCTATGTCTCTGAATTAACAGTCCAGTGAGAATACCACTTGGTCATCAATGCCATCCCCCCCAACACCCAACAAACCCCTTGTCAGCCCAAGCCTAGATATTGTCCAGGTCTTGCTGTATTTGGATATAGACTGCTTCAGGAACCATGAATGGTGCTGACCCTTATCCAACTGTCAATGAATATCCCTACTTCTGACCTTATGATGGAGGGAAGGCAATTGATAAAGCAACTGAAGATGGTTGGGCCTAGGACATTACCCTGAACAACTCTGGGCTAGGAGGCCTGGGTTCCAGGGTTCAACCTGCTCCAAAGGTTTGTAATAATATCTCTGAAGAGGTTGATTAGAAAATATCTACCCTGAGGAACTCCTGCAGAGACGCCCTGGAGCTGAGATGACTGAACTCCAACAACCACAACCATCCACATATGACTCCAAGCAGATTTGTATCATTTTCATTGTTTGCCACACTAAGACACTAGATAGCATTCACCAGCTTTGAACCCTGTATTCTTGTATACACAACATCTATTTATATCAGGAAAAATATTGACCCTTGGAGAACATTACTATCTACCATCCTCCAATATGAAAAACATTTATTATAATTTGATCTTTTTTGCCCTTTAGGCATTTTTTCCCCATTGTTAACTAATGTTTAGAGTAGTAGTTTAGGGTTAGAGTTAGGCTTTTGTAAGTTTCATATAGATATGATCTAATGCTTTCCTTTCGTCAATCATTTACAGTAGTTAACTAAAGAATTCAAATATGTTCTGTCTTTTTCAAGTTTGTGCTGTTCTGTATAATTAATTCAAATCTCTCTAAGAGCCTGTAGATGTTTTGATTTTATTTTTAAAAAAACCTTTCTCACAACTGAATAACCTGTAGTTACCAAGGATGTCCTTATACCCTTTCTTGAATAAGAGTGTTATATTTGCCATTGTCCATTTCTCTGGCACTTCAGTGTATCTTGTTTAAGGAAAGTTTACGTCAAGCTCTTCTGCTATCTCCATTCCTACTCCCTTTATTGACCTGGAATGCAAGTCATCCAGACCAAACAGTTTATCCAGCCGAGACAATGCCAACCTTTTAGCATATTCTTTCTCGCAGTTTTCACCCTTTCCATTACCTCTATCATCTTCACTTCTACTGACGTTTTCTCAATATTTTCTTTCTTAGTAAACGCCACTACAAGATATTCATCAAGTAATCTAGTCTTGTCCTGTATGCCTCAGCATATATTCCCTCTCCATCCCGAATAAGACATAGCCTATCTCTTATTATTCATTTGCTATTTACTTGCTAGTAGATTTATGGATTACCTTTTATTGTATCTGCCGTTCTGTTCCCATACTTTTCTTGCCAATATTGATTTCCTCTTCACTTTCCCTCTCAATTTATTAAATTTGGCATTTTTTTCTTGAAACATTCATTTGAAGTACATAATGCATCCTTTATTTTGTTTCACCATCTTTTCCATCTCCCTTGTCACCCTCGAAGACATGGCTTTTTCGCCCTGTCTTTCACTCTTTTGAAAAATATTTAGCCAGTAGCTGAAACATCTCCTTGTTAAGGATCAGTCATTCTTCCATTTAAGCTTTCTGTCAGATTGTGTGTTTCCAATGCACACTGCCATTAAGATGGCCACTGGGAGACTTTTGCACATGGTGCTCGGGGCTCCCAAATAATGTTGGTCTCCTGTGCCTGGAATTTCAGTTGCTAATATGCCCCTGTGTATGCATGGATGATGTCAAGAGCAAATAAGAGTGGGCTGGGATTTGAAATTAACTTTGCATATCAAGCAAGAGACTTTGGGATCTGAATGCCAAGTAAATCAGTTTCAATTAGCCCTTCCCTCGTATCCACTTTACAGGCAGAATTACATTTCTAAAATATAATTTTCTGAAACATTTGCATTTTCATTCAAATTACATAATGCTAACTGTCATTGTATGACGGGTGAACTCTAATCTTGCATTCTGAAGTATCGAAATCTCATGATTTAGAATATTTAATATCAGTGACGTTCTGGAGCTTCTGCCCTTGTGAATATATGGGCAGCACCATTTTTATTATAGGGAACTATTGCACTGTTACTTTGTAGTGACATACTCATACATTGCTTTAATTCTGCACGTATATGTAATGCTTATTAGTCTTAAATGCAGCCTTTCCTGTCAATTGTTGGTTCCATTTTATTCTGGCTAGCTCCTCTCTCTTCTCATTGAAATGATCTCTTTCTAATTTGGATATTCTATTTTCGGTTATTCCTTGCTCTTCTCCAATACTAATCAAAACCTTGTGATACAATGATCACTTTTACTCAAATGTGTACTCACAGACACTTGGTTCACTTAATTCCCCAGCATCATATCTGGTAATACTCCTTCCTAGTTGATCAAAGAAGTTCTCCTGGACATAGTTTGAAAACTTATCCTCTTATCCTTTACTTTACCACGGCTCCAATCAATATTTGGGTAATTAAAGTCCCCCAATAACACCACTCTATCCATACTCTACAATTTCCCTATACAACAGCAAGCATGATTTTTATTACCACCATTTAAGCTTCACATCCAGTATTGAGAATTTGAATAATGTTCAACTATGCTGCTATGAAAGTTTACACAACAACTATCAGATGTTGTGTTATGATTGGGCCTGCAAGCGCTACCATGGCGTTAATCATCACTTGATGCTGGAGAGAATAGACCCCAGGTTCTATGCATTGTTCTGTACACACTGAAGCTGGATACCTCCATGGTCCTTGACAGTGATAGGAGGTTGTCTTAATTCCTTCCAATGCACTACGCATCTTGGGTGCATGTTCATTAGCATTATCCTACAGGTTGCCCTATCAAAGTTTCCTTCTGAGTCCCTGAGAGCACAGCTTGAACACTACCTAGCCTTTCACCAAGTTGTCATTTGATTATACTTCCCACTAGAGATGTCTTCCATCTACTCATTCACAGTAACTCACCAAGTGCAGAAGCTGTTACATTGGATTCAAGGTAGGTGATGAAGTGAAAAACAACGCAGAACTTATCCTTGACAGTAATTTTTTTGACAGGATGCAAGCTCACAGATCTCTGATCCTGACTACTGCGCCAATAACGTAGCAGTTCCTTTTTATATAAAAAAAGTCAAACTATGATGATGCCCATCATGGCAGGTGGGATTCAGACCTTCTAGCCCAGAGATAAGACTCTAACACACAAAGCTTCTAGTTCGTTTTTAAGTATTTTTAATCAACCTGTGCACTTATATTCAGATATGCTCCATGGCAGGGAAGATTTCAACCCAGACCTCCTGGGTTCAAATAATAGGGAGACTACCACTGAGCCACAAGAGCTTTCCCTAACTTATTTTAATATGCACAACAAATCATTCAACACTTATCATCTGTTTACCCTTAACTGCATAATCGATGTGATATTAGTAAATACTAACCTCCCTAGTTTGTGCAGTATCTGACCAGCTGGTTGTAATTATCCAATTGCACAACCATGTTTCTTCATCCAGTAGTGGTACTTACCTATCTCCCATCCACCAGGGCCGCTGTTACTGAGTGGGTGACTCTTCATAGATATTTAGAAGCATAAAATCAGTGGGAGGTAATTGGAGTTAGAGAGTATAAAGCAGACAGTCCATTGCCAAATCGTTTATATTTTCTTTATCATATCAGCAACATGAAAATGAGGTGGAAGTGAAGAAAAGGCATAAGGTATAGTGACATATCATCATCCTGAATGCTCCCAATGATACAGAATTCTGCAGATTCTGTTGCAGGTTACCCCATGATGTGCAGCACTGTCTTCTGTGTTGGGCTTAGCATGCAGAGGTATATTTGTCACCCACCAGGTCGACTATGCTCCCAAATATTGTGGCAGCAATGTCCTGCAGGAGAGAGAGTAGAATGTCTTTGAGTGTGTTTTGTTATGTTTGATTAGTGTGCCTGGC